CGCGTCATGGTGTGGTGATCCTAACTTACGGGGATGACGCAAATTCCTGGGTGACACGTTACAGTATCTGGAAAACTATGATGAATCAAACTTCCCAGGTGACGTCAGCTGAGCGTCTACGCGTTAGAGCTCCTAGACCACGAACCATAGGCCGATTGTCTCGACCAATCAGAAGACGAGCACGAGCACGAGATTGATAGATACCTGGATAACCAGTGAACGTCTTTTATACATATTATTTAAAAATCATCATTTTTCTCAATAAATAAACTGCTACAATTGTGGACTTTTCCTCCCGTCTCGGTTACGTTGTATTCGGTAGTGCTAGTACCATTGTGAACCAGTGTTTACATGGCACCCGTGATTTCTGATATGTGATTCTTAATTCGTGATCAGTGCATATTTCAACTACAACACATAGACCAGAAAGCTAGTGCTGAGATGAACGAGGACCGATAATCGCATTCGGCTTGCATAGATGGGTTGTGCTATATCGTGTAATTTCCCAATGACAAGCGGTCTAATTAGCTTCCCGGTGGCCGAGTGGGTAGAATGCTTCCGTTCTACCTGTGACGTTACGGGTTCGATTACTAATTGATTCGGTGGATCCACACCGCCAAGAGGACCCAAAAAATGGTCAAAACAGCTATCCGGTGCTTCTCAGCTTTCCAGTTTACGCCTCATTTACAGGACGAATTCATCATATGAATTTCGTCTCTCTAAGTCGCTAAGTGAAAACTATTACCAGGTCTTTGCTTAACTTGAGATCATAGAGCTCACGATTGGCATACGGCGATGGTGGAAATTTCACATGTGAGGTTTTAAAAGAAATGATATTATTCATTATCACTTTTTGAGTACAAAGTGTACAAAAGGAGGCCGCGGACATAAAAATGTATCTACCAATGGAAGTTATACGCAATATCCCAACAGCTTATTGATCCACATCATAATCACATCTAATTGGTGTCGAGAAGGGATCCAATGCAGTTATATTGCTCGACTCAGGACATTATCGGACCCACTGCTTGTGTTATTTTACACGTTTGGTAAGTCGAGATTGTATCATGTTATTGATGGACATTCTCCTTGCTTCCAATTCAGAAGTGAGGCTGCAAGTCGAGATGTAGCAGCTGTGTAATAAGCTAGAATAGGATAATTCGAGAAACTGTGTGCCGCTCAGATCGTTACCGCCTATAGTGTACGCGAGTTTTACACTCGGGGCTCAGTGAACAAGCTTGTAACTACGACATTTAATGCTTCACATAGCCTTAGAATGCCAATATGCCTTGTAGTGGCACATCAAAGATAACTTTCTGATATTGAGTAGATTGTTTATCGGACATGCATTCCGGAAAATACTCGATGAAACTAGAAAGACTAATACTTCAAATCGCAAGAGCTACTGATGAATTGAGTGACGTGTCTAATCGTTCTATTCGGTGAAATTGAAAATTGAGCATGTCAGTCGGATTTGTGTTTTCTTCACTACTTTTGACAATCATGCAATAATTGGAGTTGCAAAACGAAATCGAGTGAAGTCGAGAACAGCAAGTTGTCGCAATACCGTCAATGTCCTCGATCGTTTTCTACGACGAGCAACTTGTGTTGAATGTAGATAGACGCTGAACGTCTGTGTTGCTTTGCTGCTGATTTGCTGATGTGCTATGAGGTCTTTGTGAGCCGTGGTTTTGGCTAGAATATTTCTGCCTGGAGTCCGACATTAATTAGTCATTAGTCCGAAAATATGTCATCAGAAAAACGTACATTTATTTATCACTGAAGTTATGTTGAAGTGGTGGATACGGGTAATAAATTTATCTATAAATAATACTTTTATTGGGAAAGATATTTACATTTCCCATCCGATCATCGTTGTCTTCCGTTTATTGTATGCCAATTGTTAGTTGACCATCCGTTCAGACTTTTACTTGAAATGCTGCTATTGAAAAAGTGATTTCGGCAGGGGTATCACACTAATTCACAACTCACTCTTATGCATTGTCAGTAAAAGCAGAAAATGATAAATTCAGAATTGGTCAAATCCCGTTATTTCGGATGACCACAGCTACGAAAATCAGATTGAACTATAACAAAATGATGTTCAAAGGTGGATTTGTAATTTATATAGCAAATGAAGCGTGAACTGAAAAGCTAGGAAGCACTGGACAGCTGTTTCGACCTGGTTTGGTCTCCTCATCAGCAGTGTGAATCCATTGACCCCACTCGGGATCGAAGTCGGAACCTCAGTTTACGTTTCATTTCCTATATACACAATAAATTCAAATCCTCCATTACTCCCTTGAAAGTAATGTTCCTTCATTTGATTTCTAAACGAATCCAACTTTCTTTCGAATTCTCCAATTCTCCAATCCCAATTTTGTGGAACACTTCCAGGATCCAATGAGTGAACTTCAGGAAGAAGCAATTATGTTCAATTGTGATTCTACTCAAGAACAAATATTTGCAATTTCAACATAGATTTTAGAGTACCCAGCTTAGATTAGCCTCGTTCGACTGCTCGGATGTACCAGGCACTCTTGATCGTTTCGATACTCCAAAAGTGATTGAGCCATTCGTGCAAGGAGATGATCACCGACCGTGTAGTTCACGAGGAAAAGGTTTAAAGTCCCGACCTGACTGATCGCGTTTCGAGTGCTGACACGGGGACACAAAATGTACACACTGCCGACGAGTTAGAAACAGGACGAAACAGTTGTCTAGTGAGTGCTCTTTGTCGGTTAGCACAAACATTTCCGTCGTATTTGTCGGCATAGGTTTCCCTGAAAATACAACTCACATGTGCTTTCCATTTTAGACACGATTTCACCAAGTGAATTACTCACAGGCGGTTTGTTTTCGAGTCTCTTAAGATCAATTTACTGATAATCGCAAGATGAAAAAAGTGAATCACACGGTTACATTTGGAGAATGGAATCAATCATTTGTTCTACATTGGTGCTGGTTGTGCGTGAAAACTGTGAGTTTGACAAGGAAATAGGTTTTATTACTTAGAATGTAATGAAATTCAATGAAAAATGACAGGAATATTCACTGCGCCGGATGAGGCAAGCAAACTGATGTTCCATCTGCATTTGGCAATCGATTCCTATATTAATTAGCAAACTGATACAATTGAGCATACATTCCAATTGTTGAACACAGATACAGGGATGTTTTGTGGTTCAGTATATAGAAGTGGGAGATAAACTGAGCAATAAATAAATACACTTGACCCCGCATAGCCATCAATGTATACAAGTATGATATTGGAAATTGAAATATACTTCGAAAATGAGTGTGAGATGTTGCAGGAGTTTGATCAGTGCAGCTAAAAGTCGCAGCTCCGATATAGTTGTAATTGCAGGTAACTTTACCGCGCAAATTGGAAAACTGAGCGCATCCGAAGCTTGTCTAGGCGGAATTGGTGACCGATTACAGAATGTGCATCTCCATGGCTGGATTCCAACAGATGAAACCGGATTTGCTTATTACGGTCTAGTAAAACTACACTGTGTGGAGAAAAATCCAGCATTGGTCGGTTGTGATGCCTTAACATATGTTTTTTCTGATCAAATTGAGTTTCATTATATTTGTCACCTATAATGAATGTTTTAGGTGTGGACAATAATTTATCCATTGTCTACTTCGATCTAAGTAGTTAGTTCCTAGGCTGCATGATTGTCAATTAAACGTGCCTGACCTTGGTTGCCAAGACTGAACAATCTCAACGTGACAATCGCAAACTTTATCCAGTATGAAAACGCATTATATTCTCATAAGAGCGAATTACTACAACTTGTTTCCATAAACCGTTGCCATCTCAGTTATTCGTGTTTTATCCAGTACATAATCCATTGGGCAACTGTATTGGATAACCAAATGAAATTATTTCACAACCCGAAGAAGTTGCATTAAATAAGGTTTCATAAGGGGACCGATTCACTTATTATTTGCTTTTAGACTTGAGAAAAGATGCGTGACTCTGAGGTCCAGTTCATGTAACTTCCCCCTACTAGTCCGAATCTCATACTGATCGAAAATCTGTTTTCTGTTTTGAAAATAGAGATCAACATGCCACCTGTCCAATTGGACACTGGAGACAAAAGTGCGACACGTAATGGAGCACAAAATAGAAAATGACTTCATAACACAGTTGGTGGATTTGATGCCGAATGGACTCGAAAATGTCCTGCAGAACAAAGGCAGACCAATCGACTATTAGTGTACACAAGCTTTACACCTTAAGTATTATCACAGTTAATTTGTTGTAAATAAAATCTGTTCCATTTTCTTTAGTTACCTGCTAACTCTTCATGGTCTAGGTTACCCAGTACTGACAAAATGGAAGTATCTGCAACATTTTGAACCATTTCATCTGGTGAATATTTTTTTATTATACACCTAGGTGTGATGAACAGCAGACGGGGCAAAAACTCCATAGTCACGAGGACCTGCTGTTCAGTGGTTCAAATCGGCAACTTAAACCCCGGAACTCGAAGTGGCGAACCAAATAAGGCCCCGATAGGTTAGGCATGGTATTGACCCGGACGACAGCAGAGCTGCCTACCACGAAAGTTGGGTGGCGGTGGCGGTGGCGGTGGCGGTGGCGGTGGCGGTGGCGGGGCTCGAACCTCGGACCATAGGGTCCAAAGCACGCCGGTGACAGTGACTAAACCACTGCGCCACCACCACCCTAAAAGTATACATTCGAATCAGGAAAGCCACTGCTATCAAGACTCACCAACGCTTGTATATTATTATTTCGGATGAAAATTTACTTTTCGTAGTAAATGCTAGTGCCTATACGAACCGACAAGTGTTTCACAGGAACCCGTTGCTTCAGTTTCGATTAAATCCGTTCATATTGCACGAGATAGAAACAACTAAAATCTTGTCACCTACCAACTATCGACACCATATCTTTAGAAGGCGGATTTGAATGCAAATGGAATTATTTCATTTATTCATGGTCAATTGAACTTTTCATATATAACACATCAGTCGTAACGCGCGCGACGTCGAACATTATCTCGGACTCGATCTAATCGCACTCGTCGCTGCCTTCCAGTTTCTCTGCGTGCATCTCTGTCTGGCTCGTTTCGGTCAGTCCGTGTCTCACGATCCTCGTCTTCCTCCTCTGATTGCTCTGGATCACGTTGTTCTGGAAAGACAACGAAAGTAAACAGAGAGGACAGATTGTGAAATATCGGAAGGCATGAAACTAATATAGTAAATCGTTTCACCACAGAGTTGACCGCACTCACTTCTTGTTGCGTGTTGAGCACGCTGTCTGTTCGGTCGTGCACTCGCCTCATCCGCTTCGTCGTCCGCATCTGGTCTCGCAACACGCTCTCTAGTGAGCTTTATGGTCACTCGATCCCGTGTAGCTACAAGTGAATGAAATGATTTATAGCGTTGGTTATGAATCAAGAGCATAACTTATAGTGAATAGTTCCGGACTGATATACTTACCAGTTTGTTCTCGTTGATCAACCGCCCGATCATCAACTTGGTCTTGCGCTTCATCTTCGGTTTCATCCCGTCCGTCAGGTCGACCGGATCTTTCTCTCGTTTGTCCAGTTTGCCCTGCGTTTTGGTCGTGATCAAATGGTCATTTTATGTCAGGCCGTTTACATTCATCGCATGATACATCACACTATTGATCTCGTTCTAGGGGAACTCACTCGTATATGAACGTTGTGCATCCCTGCGTGTCTGCTCCCGTTCGGCAACATTTGCATTGGCGACCACAACGACCAGTAAGGCGACCAGAATGACAGAAATCTTAAATCAGGCAACAATCAATGATCGTTCGCTATTCAAACCTATCATCTCTTACCTTCATGTTTGTGATGAGTGATACACTTCCGTTCTGCTATGCTGCACTTGCCAATTTATATGCGGGTTCCGTATATTTCATTGGTTCCTTTTTGTAAAAAACAAGTGTACGTTTGTTTCATTCCTACTGATCGTGTGTCGAGCATAGTACCCACTGATGTCCGTTATTGCTGTTCTATCTATAGGAATGCAAAAATTAACTCATACATGACCCTTGGACTTTAACTGTATTAAATTTAGTTTTGTACCAAATTCTGGGAACCATTTTACACACCAAAAACGATCATGATGTATTTGGATGATTATTCATGATGATTTCTGATTGACTTGTGTGTTGTTCAAATTGTTGTTTGGAACATTTGAATTTTGTATGTCGATTTGGAAAAGTTCAGTAGCCTCGATTGGATTCGAGCTCACGCATGGACGCCGCTTACGCCTTGTACGCCGCATGCCACATGCCACATGCCTCTGTAAGTTGGATGGGTAAATTGGAATGTGAAAAGATCAGTGCTCTGTCGGTGTGGCCCTCGTATCTCAGCTGATAGAGCGTGCGCGTACAAAGCGTAGGTGGCGTCCATGCTTCGGTTCGAATCGCAACGAGGCTACCGAACTTTTCACAATCGACATACTTACCAACACGCCCTCTTAGGGCTTTCACGAAGCTTGACTGCGCCTCATAACATTCCTAGATCGTGACTGACTATCTCTGAAGACGACACTCGGAATTGGCGATTTGTTTCAGCCATAGTATGAGCTGTTTGACACAGTGGTAACGCACACGCCTTCTGTGCGATGGGTCCGGAGTTCAAATCCCGTACGGGAGAACGGTGCATATGCACTACTGATGAGCTCCAATAAGAGCAAAACTCGAGTCTAGTGCTTCCACGAGCGTATGGTTGAATCGATGCACTAAGGATTGTGCGTGAAGGTGAAGTCCGAGCGACAGTCAGCTCGAATCAGTAAAAGACAATTATCCCACACCACTACTCACAAGTAATTGTGAGTCAAATGCTAACTCGCTAGATTGATGCGGCCATCAAATCACACATGGTACAAAATATTGCTGTCTGAAATCCATTTGCTCATCAAGTTACTTTGTCCTCTGCGATATCAGCGCTCTCATGTGCTTTCAATGATAGATTGTCATGGTTTCTCTGTGCAACTTCTGTTGACCATAACGGCTGTTTATCGCACAGTATACGATATCAAATGATTCTTTGACGGAACAGCTATTACTACTACCACTACTACTACTACGACTACTACTACTGTTACTACCACTACTAATAATAATACTACTACTAGTACTAATACTGGTACTACTACTACTAACACCACTACTACTACTACTCCTACTCACTTCTGAGTAGTCGATAACTTTCGGTGATTAAAAATAGAGAAGACCATCAAGGACCAAGTAGTATGTTTGGGAAGAATAAACACTGCCTGCTCTACCCAGTACTCTATGTGTC